AAGTTAAATGGACTTCAGATTCGGTTTCAGCTACCCCAAAAATGTATAGGAAACATGGCCTGCCCCCTCGGTTAAAAATATGTTCCATTTTTTATATTTTTGGAGTTCATGTGAAAAGCCTGATGTGATGGAGTAAAATGGATACAGGATTCGCATTTAACGACCCAAAAAAACATATAGAAAACACGGTTTGATCCCCAGACACGAACACAAATTTCTTTGTGTGGCTGTGTAATTAAAATGTATACATAGTATATAATTATTATAAGTGTGTCGGCGTGTATGTGTTTCTGTTTTATTTGGTGACTTTGGTGTGTGAACATCAAAATACAGCGGTCTTTAACACCGAACAAGTTGGAGGACCGCTGCTGCAGAGAGTACAGGCCCATTCATAATGCAAACATAAACATAAGCATGGTGTTAACATAAAAGATAGGACTACGTTCATAAGCGGATTCATTCACAATGCGTTCGCATTCGCATAACACGTAAGACGTTAACTTAAAAGCTTGCAAGCTTCAATCTTCTGTGTTTATGCTTAAGTAAGACATAAGAAATGAAACAATTACAGTACGTGAACTCAAAATCGAGAATCGAAATAGGAGTGATGTCCATAGACGAACTAACACCATATGACATAGTCGATACCTCGAAATCGATTCTCACATCCAACCAATAGTAAACCAGAATGTCTAACAGCCAATAGAAACTCTTATTGTGCTTACGTTTATGTCACCCATTGTGAATACGTCAGTCTATCGCTTATGTTTATGTTTATGTCTATGCGTTACGCTTATGTTTACGTCTGTGTTGTGAATGGGCCACTGAACGGAGGTGCGCGTGCGCAGATGGACTTCATGTTCCCGTCGGCGTCGGCGCGTCACGCGGCGCTGACATCGGGCGCCTTCCAGCCGGCCAACGTGCTGCCGCTGGGGCTGGAGGTATGGCAGGGCCGCGTGTTCGTGTCGCTGCCGCGCTGGAAGCCCGGCATCCCGGCCACCCTGGCCACGGTGCCCGTGGACGCCGCCGCCGGCGCGCGCGCCGCCTCCGCCGCCGGCGCCTCCTCCTCGCCGCCGCTCAGGTCAGTCACCACACCGTAGAGAAAAGACAACGAAAACTTCCCGCCTACGTACGGTCTCAACATGGTCTTTCGAGCCGCATACACCGGGAGAGGTAGCTCAGGTCCCTGACCGGGAGGTACTAGGATCCAATCCCGGCAATGGCAGGATTTTCGACACTAGTTTAATAGTTAGATCGAGTTCAGTCGCTGTCTGGAGGAGAATTTTAGCGGCGCCTCCTCCTCGCCGCCGCTCAGGTCAGCCACCACACCGTAGAGAAAAAAACGTTCCGCCTGCGTACGGTCTCAACATGGTCCTTCGAGCCGCATATACCGGGAGAGGTAGCTCAGATTACTGCAGTGCCTCTGACCGGGAAGTCTTAGGTTCGAATCCCGGCAATGGCAGGATTTTCGACACTATCTTAATAGCTAGATCGAGGTCAATCGCCATCTGAAGGAGAATTCTGGAGATCCATATATACCGGGAGAGGTGGCTCAGGGCATCAACTGATGTCACCGCAGTGCCTCTGAGGTTCTACGTTCAAGTCCCGACGTCGGCAGGATTTTCGACACTAGCTTAATAGTTAGATCGAGTTCAATCGCTGTGTGGAGGAGAATTCTAGCGGCGGAGACGGAGACCCCGAAAAACAGCTCGCGAACCCGGCCTTGTCCACCACAAAGTCCACGTGGGTCGCAGAATTTTCAAACACGGCTCCCAGCGTGAAAGGCGAGCGCCCTCACCCAATCCTGCGATAAGCTGCTTTGGCGGTCCGAGAGACGCGCGGCTAGCACAAGTGCCAACGTTGCGCCGCCATTCGCGCCTTCCTCGGCGACTTAAGGAGAAATACGTTAGCCTCTGTGCCTACGTCGCAGCGTCTCGAACAAGCCAATTATAAGCGCCCCCATTCACAATGCAAACATAAACATAAGCATGGCGCTAAACATGAAAGTTAAGGACTACGTCCATAATGGACTCATTCACAATGCCATAATACGTAAGACGTAACTTAAAAGCTTCAACGTCTGATGCTTATGCTTAAGTAAGACATAAGAAATGTACCAATCACAGACGTTACCTCAGAAACGAGAATCGAAATAGGATTGTAGTCCCGATAGACTACTAACCGCAATACGCCCATGGACATAGTCGATACCACAAATCGATTCTCTTTCATCCAATCAATAGTAAACTAGAATGCCTCGACACCAATAGAAACTCGTAATTTCTACGCTGTATGTTAGAACGTGAATGCTTCAGTCTATCACTTACGTTAATGTTTACCGTCCAGTGCGTTACGTTTGCATTGTTGAACGAGCCTTTAGCTCTGACTGCGGCCGCGCTTAGCCTACTTCTCTCCCTCCCCCTGGCGGATCGGCTTCACTACGGTAGTAATTGGCGTCGCAGCCCGAACTGGCGAAGTTGGATCTGGCGGCGCTACTACATATCTGGGTCGCACACCGTCCCCTCCCGCACCCGCCGCGTCCACCGGCGCCTCAGGATGCCGAAGTTGACTTCCCGCGGGTCCAGCTCCTGGTAGAGTACTCGTGCAGGCGGTTGCTCAGCACCCCACCACACTCTGCCCGCCGGCTCTTGGTCCACCTCAAGTCGTTGGGGAATTGCAGCGTCACGTTGTCTTGCGCCACGATGCCCCTGCGGAAGAGACACAATATGGAATGTTGTTTGTTGCTCTTCATAAAATGAAATAAGTGTTTCAGAAATAGTGTTCGCTATTGGGAACAACCGCAGAATATGTTATAAATCCAAAGATGATTTTATTTCATTTTACGTCAAAAACAGTTAAAACGTGTGACATACCTATGGGGAAAAAGTGTAAATCTTTCTGCTGCACGTTTTCATAAATTCTGGGATCACTACCCTAAACCAAATAACAAGTTGAGTGATAAACGACTGTGCGAACAAGCGTTTTGAGAAGAACTGACAAGAAAATATTATTCCCCATGTAATTAGAATAACTATTTGCGAAGTGCAAACAGCTACAGATTTGGCTATTATGCCTCATCGGAAGCTTCAGTGAAGCAATGAGTTATTGCAACGAAACTGTTTCCTTCTTGATTATAGCATAATTAAATAAAATATTTAAGCAGAGAAACAATTTACTATTGGGACTTCAAACTTATGTATGGATTTCAACCGTTTAATGTCATAAATGGCAATATGTAGTAAATAATTGCCATGTGTTGTATGTGAATTTCTTGTAGGGAGTGTTGATATTGACCCCTTATGAATATGATAATTATTCGTGTGTTATAACTTATAGACATTTCTGTTCTTTAAAAATATGGCCCCACCCGTGAATAACCATTTTTCACAAAAACAACTGATTCGTAAATGAAGGGCAAGACAAAACAGAATGCCTAGTTTCAGATAAAGAAGAGGCTAACAGCAAATCAATAGTGCGGATTGTGTATATTGCTACAACTCTTTTTGCCAATCCAATACGTGGGATAGGATGTGTTTCCGGAATACTTTGCCATATCGCAGCCGGAATAACCATTCGCAAACCGTAACCGGTAAAACAGTTACAATAATGATATCAAAACTGTTCAGTTGTTGCACAATTATTGTTTAAGTCTCATGCATGAAAATAGTATTACTCCACGTTTTATTGTTTCGAAATAGTACGTGTGCACGTCTTTATCGTATGCGTACCGCAAAGAATCAGAGCCACATGAAGCAAATCGCAATACCCCGTTAACAAAATACTGGAGTTGAGATGAATTTCAACACCACTGCCGTTTCGCGTTATGAGAATGATCCCAAGAATTTTTAATTGTGGCTTCCACGAATGAGTACAAAATTCAAAAAAACAATGTACCGATTTCGTACGAAAGTGTCTTGGCGTTAAAATGCCGGACTCCTACGTTGCCTGTTACATAAATAAGTATTAAACTACGGCATATATTTTTTAATATTAATTTAATGCAATTTCATATTAATGTAATGTTATTTTAATATTAAATATTTAAACTGCCGAATACTTGACTTGAATCGGTTATTTCAGAAATCCGTCCAAGAACGCCAAATCCTCATTCAGAAAATTCAGAAAAAGTTTACTAATTGTTTCTGATTTCAACATACTTTATTTATTAAAGACAGTCGATTAAATGTTATATTTTTCCAGTATTAATACGCACTAAAACGATGTGTCTATCTTCTTGCGAACCAATAATCCGCCGCCCAATGCTGTTTTATATTTGCGTTTGACGGGTTTCTGAAATAAACGATTGAATAAAAGGCCATTCGCAGTCAAATATTTAATATTTAAAATAACATTACATTAATATAAAAAATTACATTAATATTAAAAATTGCGTTAACATTAATATTAAAACAATATATGCACGTAGTTTAAGAATTATTTCGTAACCACTACAGAAAGTAAGGTCTTTGAATATGAAAAAATGTTTGGATACGGCCACCTAGAGACGAGTCGGCATTTTACGCCAAAGATACGTACGAGTTCTGTACATTGCTTTTAATTTTCTACTGGATTTTCATTCTTTTGGTTTAGACATGTCAATAATCATTCAGGCGGCCCCATATTTGTCCGACGCGCCTCACCTGCAGGTCCCATGCGCGTGCCGGCGGGCTGGCGCGAGTTCCACAGCCACCGGCGTCGCGCGAAGACCAGTTGTAGAAGAGCACGCCGCCGCCGTCGACCGGCGCGCCCGACGCGTGGGCCCCGCTCCGCGGCGCGAGCTCGCCCAGCGGAGCGAACGCCCCGCGCTGCTCGCCCGCAAAGGCCTCTCGTTGCTGCAGCACCTGCAACCGCGCGCGTCCGAGCACCGTTCAGGATTGCTACACCGAAAAAAAGAACATTGGGAGTATACCAGGTCCATGATACTGTAACAAGGAAACTTAGGATTTGTTCGGTTCGTTTTTTTCGCGTCAGATCCATGATACGTAACAATCTTCCTTGTTCGTAAAACTACCAATCAGAGCAGACCGAGCTCTAGATTCTTCTGATTCGATTCTAGCTAAAGCCGAAAATACACCATCATCAGGACTCAACCCTAAAGTCTTCCCGTTCAAGCACTGCAACGTCATCAGATGTGTTCTCTTGCCACCTCAGATGGTCAAATTTATAGGGCATTTTCTGGTCGAAGATATCACGTTTAGTCAATGAATAGGAGGTGCGAACCTCATGGAAGTATATGTGATTCGATTCTTATATGTACAGTGTCCGTTGTAGGGTAAGGAACGAACAATAGGAAACATTAAATGATAAACTTGTCATTTGCCAACGCGCAAGTTTGTCGGACCTTAGCCAAAACGCCAATGAAGTGCCACTAACCGAGGTGCGCACGGCGAACTCCGTTCGTGAACTCCAGATTCAGAGCAGCCGAGCTCAGAATTCTTGCTGATATTCGATCTAAGCTAAAAGCGAAAATACGCCATCATCAAGACTCAAACCTAGGCTTTTCCGCCGTCAAGGCACTGCAACGTCATCAAGATGGTGTCCTCGGCCACCACAGTTGCCTCAAATTTATAGGGCATTTCTGGGTCGAAGGATGACCACGTTTACCAATGCAATATGAGGTGATAAATTGTTATAAGAATGTTATATGTTGATCCATTTTTATACAGAATAATGTAACATTTAGGAGCAGAATAAAGGCAATAGGAAACATTAAATATTAAAAAGTCGTTAGGCAATCGCAATGCAGTGCACTCACCGAGGTGCGCCACGCGAAGCTCCCGGAAGGAGGGGGGGGTGGAAAGCGGTGGAAAGAAGAGCAGGCGGTCGCGAGCGGTCCTCGGCGCCAGCGCCAGCCCGAACACGCCGTCCGTCAGCTAAGGCGCACGCCGTGCACGTCGTACTTGCTGGCCAGGGTCCGGGGAAGAAGAGCGGCCTCCACGCGCCACCGACCGTCCTCGCGCAGCTGCAACGCACCGCCCCCAGATGGTCGCTCGCCCTCCGCGCCTAGCGCAGGGAAACAAAAAGCCCCGCTCACCCCCACACCCTTCCCCAATGCGCAGATTGCTCTTTGCAACGGTTGATTTGAATTAGAAAGATTGCGGTATTTGTGTTTGAAATTTTTAAAAAAAATGACTCCTGATGTCCTGATTGTGAAAATTGTATAATAGAAAAGTAAAAACACGGGAAATAAAAGCCCCCTCTCCTCCAAGCACAAATTGATCTTTGCAACTAAGTTAACTTTAGAATGATAATTTGAATTAGAAATTAATATATATATATATATAATATATATATATATATATATATATATATATATATAATATGTATATATATAGTATATATATATATAATAGTGTATATATATGTATATATATGTATATATATACATCTGGAAGTCACTGATCGTGATCATAGTACAAGAGAAGAATAAAACTTAAGAACAAGAAATTTAATTTATAACGTAGTGTAGATAGAAATATCGTACAAAAAAGCACACGGGAACAACCCCGCCCACCAATTCACAAATTGCTATTTGCCAACGAATAACTTAGAATGGATAATTGAATTAGATATATACATATTTACATGTTTTAATTTAAAAAATGCCTTCTGATGTCACTGATTTCGCATCTTTAGTACAAGAGAAAGTAAAACTTAACAACAAGAATTTAATTCTTTATTATTCGAAAAACATATTATACAACTAGTTTATAAAATTAAACGTTGTTTTCTTAAAGTACATATGTTTGAAAACAGTGACGTAAGACCGAGTGTTAAAATTTTTCTACGATTGCAATGAACAACAATTATAAATGAACTTCATGCTAATTTTTTATAATATCATTATATATTTTTATAATCCAAAGTTAATTTTTTGAAATCAACTTTGTCTTAGTTACGGGCCAGTTTGTTCTGGCCGAAAAAGACGGCGGTAGACGTGTGTTTACTCCACGATTCGCTCGCTGCGATTGGTGAATGTGGGTTAATGTAACTTTCAAGCCATAAACATACTACAACATCACAATCTTGCCCCAAAATGCCATTTATGAATGATTTCTGAAACGAAAAAAGATTATAATAATAGGACACAAGAACTAGTTATCCAATAGTTATAAAGTTAAGCTTTACAGCATGAAGTAACATGTTTTAAAAATCAGTACGAATGCAAAAAAAGCAAACATTACAACGAGTTGCATACCCATTCCTTGCATAACGCATTATAAATTTAAACTAACAGAGATCAATAAATTTATTAATTGTTTATTTATAAATTTATTGAGAATCAAACTTAATTTTGCGAAACAACTTCTGCGTGACCGTCACGTATTGGACAATCCGTACGAGAAAAACGGATGGTTGGCTTTCCATTCACCGCAAACCTTCCACCTTACGATCTCTGATTGCGGATTTGCTGCAATGTGTGAAGACTCATCATTTCGTGCCGTAAAAAATCCCAAACACATCATTAAAACACTCCGTAAAACTCCCAATTATGAACGAATTTCTTGGGTCTAAAGTCGTTATAATGTGACGTTACAAAAACAAAACAAAACAAAACAAAAAAACAAAAAAAAGAGCAAAAATCCAAAGCAAAAAAGAAAAAAAAACAAATATATGTAATGAAATGAAAAAGAAAATGGCGGCGCCTGACCTTAGACGACGAGCCGTAGCGGAAGACGTCGGAGGCGTAGGCGTAGGCGTCGTCGCAGCGGCCGCGCGCACGTCCACCGCGATGTGGTAAGAGGCCCCCGGCGGATTTCGTCTGCGCCCTCGGGATGACGTAGCGCCACAGCAGCGCCGTCCGGCGCAGGTCGAAACAACCAGGATCTGCGGCGAGCGCGCCGCGGTCGGAAAGTCGTAGGCAAATTAAATGGAATTTAATGCAAACAAAACAACCTGTCTAGTTATCATTAAAGAATACGTATTATAATAACCTTAGATATAAATAATATTCAGGAATAATAATAACAATAATAAAAACAATAACAACAATAATAGTAATAATAATAAAATAATAATAATAATATAATAATAATGTGTCTCTTAGGTTTGTGTGTCATTTCATCATTCTACTACAGCCCATTCCCCAGGGCTACAACTTTGGGTGTAAAAATGGAATCAGCATTAAGTGCTGATCCTTCCCCGATAGTTTAAAGTAACGTTATCTACTTCCGATAATCATGACTGATCCCCGGTGGGATGCACTTATCCGCGTGGCTCTATAAGCCGATTTACGAAAAAAAAAAAAACCAAAAATAATACGATTATAGCAATTAAAATAAATGTTGATTGAAAGCGACAAAACAGGTGTGTCAAAGAGGACCTGGTACTATTGTTTCCATAAAACAAAGGAAGGCCAAAGGAAGGTCTTCTAATACAATACGCATGAAGTCTGTAAGAAGAAGACTCAACTCGAATACGACCTTGAAGGATACGTACGATAAACGTTGCAGCTATCGCGACACACTAGCTTCAGGGCGTCAATCTCACTTTTTTCGGCAATATCGACGCCGTACATGGAATTTCACCATCTCCAATCTACCACTTTAGTGGTGTAAGTAAAGGTAGATGACGTTGATTTGACGCATGAGCTTGGTGGACAATTGGTCCGCAAAATGCCTTAAAAGGACCTCTCACTGACCGCTGATGTCGCTGAAGCTAAGTGAGTGCGATTAGCTGTCGACACTTTTCATACTACCACACCACCACGGAGTCCAAGTCTCCTTCTTCGAGACTTCATGATAATACATATAATCTAAAATAACAATTAGGGATTAAAAATATAGTTGTATAATCACATTTGGGAACTGTACCGCGAATTTCAAGCTCAATTTGCGACAAAGAACCCGGCTTTAAGTTCTTACGAAGAAAAGCCATTGCTCCTGTTACTTTATATAGCAGCCAGAGGGACACAAACATTAGACTAGTTGTCGAGAATTAATAAAATTTCTTTCGCTTTGTTATAGGATTCACACTACTTTCAGGAAAGTGTAGTTAGTGAGAAACGGAATACTGAAGAAATACTGAGATCTAACGATAAATTAAAAAATGCTGAGAAAAATGGGTAAGATCTACTTTCATTGTTCAGAAAAAACAAATGATCATCTAGCATTCGCTCTCAGGACCACTGGGGAACTGGCGACAAACAAGGATCGAAAGTTCTGCAATCAGTAGTAGTCTTCCGAATGCATTTACCATTGGCAATTTCTTTAGAACTGAGTCACTTATTTTGCTATGTATCATTCGACTTTCTTAGGCTTGCCACTAATTGTTTAAAATTTATTATGTGATTTTTTAGTTTTACTTTTGTTGACTTCGCTGCAGGGGGATAATTAACTGGCAAATCTATTATCGGAAATATGCCAGATTATTCCGTCTCCTCCATACTTTACGTCATGTCTATTTTTACTGGTTTTAGAAAAATAAAATTAAAATGTAGTTTTAAGTAATTGAAACTAATAGATTCTTACTTCAAACCTTGCGGAGGTGATGCGGAAAAAAGACATTAGGACTGGAACATTTGAATTGTTTGATTTTTTGTAATAACTGATGAAAAAAAAAAAAAAAAAAAAAAAAAAAAAAAAAAAAAAAAAAACAAAAAAAATTATGCAATTCTTTTCCTTTATCCTAATGGATTTTAAAAATATTCATAGCATCAATTCAATTTTAAAGTGTACTATCACGCACACAGGCGTTATTGCGTTTCGGGCCCTCAACGCGCGACTCACCTGCGGCGGCAACTTTTGCTTGAAGCTCTGGTGATGTCTGCGACGCCGAGTCCCGATGACCCAGAGGGCGACCGCATGGTCAGCGCCATGGCGGAACACGGACGTGAGGCCGTCGCAGCCAACTGGAGGTGCCAAGGCCCATCCGGGACGGTCTGCAAGCAGAAAGGCGTGACAGGTGCGGTGCAAGTTCAATCCTTTGGCACTTCCAGAATTTTGTGGCAGTGATCGAGAGACTTTGCACCGACTCGCGTGTTGGAGTGTATTCTAACGAGATGAATTGGTTTCTCCCAGGGATCTAATTTTGATAAGGTTTGTCCTGAAAACTGAAAGAGTAAATTTGAATGTACTGACAACCATTCGCGAGAAAATGTTCTGCCCAAAAGTTGGTCACGCTTGCAATATGTTTAGTGTCTCACCCAGAGGTTTACACGTTTACTGTCACTCGATGTCCCGAATACCGAGACCACGAACATTTTTCGGTCGCTGATCCTCTAGTGACCTCAGGCTTCATGACCTAAAAAGGTCTTCAGCAGAACCCACAGACAACCTCATAGCATTTAATGACATAAACGGTGTGAAATATATCGCCAGAGAACTAATGATATTTAAAAAAAACATGGATAGCGAGTGTTGTGTGTGTGAGTGTGTGTGGGAGCGTGGCGTGTGTGATGGACAGAGTTACTAATAATAAATGAAATGTATTGTATCAATATCACTTCAGTATCTATTTACAGACAGAATCAATTCTTCACCCGTCCGTGATTGAAAATTTCATATTCTTATTTCCTGCGCCCTAAGAAGATCCCAATAATTGCGTTAAACATGTTTTAATCAATTATTACTTACTTTCTATTTGTTTAACATACGCCTATGATTTTTGAATGGTGTGGGTTACAAAAGCCCGTATTTTGACCTGAATACAAATTGAACTGATATTTACAACATTACACCTAAGTAGACATATACATAGACATAGACCACGGTGTAGAATTGATATCATTGCCAGTAAACGTAAATGCGTGTGCTGGGCGCCCGAAAGGGGTCTGATTCATTGTATAATTTCCAGAATCTAAAGGCGCCGCGAAAGTGAATTGAAAATTTAGCAAGGTTCCTCGAATTTACGCGTTAAGGATTTATTATGAAACTCGTGAATTAAGGAAGATGTTATTTTTACCTACTCTCGAAACCGTCTCTTAAAATCATACGTTTTCCTGTGCCCTTTGATATAAAAAAATGTTGATAGCTGAATTAACTGCAACCAATATTGAGGTGTTTCAGAATGAAGGATATTTCCGTAAACTAATTTGCACGCGTTCCCGTAATTTAACTTCAGAAATAATAGAAACGAGAGTGGTATTTTACTATTAATTCCCATCCTTTATTCACGTATTATGCAGTGTCCCATGTTTAATTCTGAAACCTTGCTATCAGGAGGTAAATGATTCCGTCAAACTGTTACGTCTTTAATCCTGCAAGTAGTAGTAGTCCATTTGTCGCTCGGGAGGGCGTAATCTTTCCCTCGCTGTATGGCGGAGATCCGGCGCCTACCTACCGTTGTTAGCCGGCTTTCCCCAACCAGATTTTACCCCACCAACGGGCACCGCCCAGCTGGGCCAAGACTCCAAACTCCGATTGGTTCCCCCGACATTGTGTGTAGCTGTGTGCATGCAAGTGTGGTGTAAGTAAGGGGTGAGAATAACACGGTAAGAGGAAGAAAATATCTCGCGCGCCGTCTGGGCTCGTTTGTTAAGGTACTTCTCCGGTATGTGCTGGCCATTGATAGAGAAAACACGGAAAACTACCGCATCAGAGAGTT